GATTAATGTTAGAGCTTCCAAGGAACTGGTACAACGAATTCAGTGGATTCTTAATATGCGTTAAAGTTGATGCGATCTTTGACACCTTGAATAATGTAATTACTATCGAGGACGTAATGGGTAGGGAAAATGAAGATGTTTTGGAGGTGTCCGATGGGACTCGCGAGGAGATTTGGGATGAGGTATACTGTTGCTATATATATATATCCTTCGGTTCATTGAGGCATACCTCATGGTGGAAGTCAACACACACTACCATTTCATTTTCCATACAAAAAGGTAGTTGCATAAAAGTCGAACTTGTTCCTAGAAGTAAAGGTGATCCAATAGAAAGAGTCAAACATACAACAAATTCCTCGTTTTGGGACAGAGAACCTATATTCAAAATCTTGTATCGAGATTACCTGGTGTCCTGATGATATGCCGGACTTGTTCCACGATTAGAATGTATGATATTTTTTTTCACTGTTCGTTCCATTTTGATAAAGAAAAAAAATATTCCTCTTTTTGCTTTGATTAATAATGAAAATCTCTAACCTTGCTGGAAGGGTAGGCATCTTTGCCAAACATTGTTAAATCATAGCATTTCTTCCCTTTCTCCTTAATTTTTCTCTGAAACCCACWTGATTTCTTGATGAATGCTGCATCGTTTTAACATTCATTTAGAAAATAAAACCATGTTTCTGCATTTAGATTAGACAACAAATAACACTTCACATATTCATCAACAATGAAATATGTTTTTATTATATTCCAACTAACCGAAATTAAATGTTTATGAGATAAAAATAATATTTTATTAAATGTATGAAATATTTTAATAGAGTTGAATGTAATTTTTTTTTTAGATTTTGAAAATTTTGATCCTTCGTTTTAATGAAAATTTTAAAAAATCTATTAGTGATACTTTTAGGGTTGTTTAGCAGTTGCTAAATGATTTTGTGCAAGATGATTAAGTGGTTTGAATGATTAAGAGGTTCTTATAATATAATGCAAAATGAAATATAATTGGATGGTGATTGTTCAACATGAAATTATGGTACTGAATGGTTCAGAAGGTCCAAGATGCAAAATCATAGAATTTTGAAAACATCAAGAGACGGATATCTATTTTTTACCAAACAATATTCACTTCTTAGCGATTCAGAGAATCGCACTATAAAAAGTCTTATCTGAATGCGTTACAATAGGTTTATATGATGTTTTTAAAGTGTCTTATTAGCTAATATAACACTTTTGAGAAGTGTACTGTAAACTACCTTTTTATAGGACATTTATGTTTATAGGAAAAAGTGTCGTATAAAATAGTAAAATATGACACTTTATTTTAAAAGTGTTCTAATTTTTTTTGTTAAAACGTCTAAAAATGTCTCATAAACCTATTGTAACACTATTAGAAAATTGGATGAATCAAACCTAAGCACGTTCTAAGGACACTTATCGAGGGATATGCCGGTTGTGGGTTGTATGAGAACATAAAACATGTAAACTTGCATTTACAATATCTTCTATAATGAAGCTCTACATTCACTTTTCACGTTCTAGAGCACTCTTCTAGTATTGGCAGACATTTCCGCAAGTCAGGCGTTGTATGAGAACCTTAAATATGGGCCAAACCAAATCAACCAATTTGATAATTTTGTTTTCACTTTGCTAAATACTTAAAAGATAACTAATCATTGATATCAGATAAAACACGAAAGCATTATATAAATCCCCAAAGTTTGCCAGAGTTGGGTATAGTAAAAAGAGATCTTCATTCTTGAATCAATTGTAATTGATGATCAATTGGAAAAACCCTTCAATTGGGTTATCTTAGACTTAATCTGAAACATTAGATCAACACTAACTAGACGTTGTGAAAAGTCCAAATCTTTTCTTACACTTTTCACTTTAACTTCTATTATCACACGATCCTTTGTCAAGTCTGCCCAACGTAATCTCTTTTCTACCCAACTGCCAAATCTCAACATAATCTTGAAAACATAAAGAAACGTTTATTATATGTATATCTGAGAACCTATGATTTCTTATTAAATGGTGAAAATACTTTATGATATGATTTGCTTAAGAAAATGGCAAAAATCACTATGGATGTTCTATGATTTGTTAACAAATGGTAAAAATAAATAAAGCCTAAAAACGATAGACTTGTTGGAGTAAGTGGCTAAAAGCGTGACTCAAGATTTTCGATGAGGGCGGTCTTCTAATATATATATATATATATATATATATATATATGCACGCACTCACAAATATGTATATATGCGTAAAATGACAAGGACAAAAAATCTTACCCCGTAAATGAGGGATAAAACTCTTACCTACTAAGTGTTTTACCATGTAAAAGACGTTTACCAACAAATCCGTTTTGATGCTCAATAATGTTAACCAAGGTAACTGAGGGTGGTGACTCTTGCTCTTGCTCGTAGGCGTATAGTTTTTCTTTACTAATCATAACCTTATAGAAGCATTTGTGCACTTGAAGCAAAAAATTGCACAAATGCTTCTATATTGTCTCTCTACTTACTAACTATATTCATGCTTATTTGCAATATCCATGGTTATTTTTACAAGTTGAGTTTTGTTTTTTATGCATATATCATATTTATTAGTGTCAGCCTTTGTTGTTGGATACGATATCATAGGAAACAAGAGACCCCTTTTGTGAAGCTTTCATTTAAAAAAGTGTATGTAGGAAATTTGACAACATGCTATATACCTATGAGGATGAGTGCCACACATGTGCATATAAATTTGTATTGCTCAACTATTGGAGGAATTCCCAATATAATTATAACTCACAAATTCCCTCAACAATAGAGGAATACAGATCAATATATACATTTCGTTGATGTGTGACCCTTATTCCAATAGGTATAAGAATCAACTTTCTATCTGCTCAAACTTCTCAAGTGATATTTCAATGTACCCATCTGATTTCAAACTATAAATTTAAAATCAATATAGCCATTTTATCACTATTGTTTTTATTCCTGACTAGAACAATGCAACATGTAACAATAACCAAGATTATATCTCAATGATTTTGCAAATAAGCATAATCATAAATTTGTAAGTAGATCGACCTTGTAACAATATAGAATTTGTGTACTTCACCGCAAATTGTTTGTGAACATATAATATGAATGAACGTGATGCTAGATTTTCCAGCTTGAGCTTATTTGGCTTCCGTTACATAGCATGACATGAGATAAAATAATTTGGAGAAGTATTGCAACTCCGGCAAATTCATTATCTCATTCTCAAAGAAAACCTTTAAATTCACCTTTTTCGACATAGTTCTTCAATGGGATTAACCTTTAGATCCAGAAAGTCGCAAAGAAATTGATTATATGTTAACAACGAGAATAGAATGAAGCAATTTGTTTATGAATCTATTCTTTTGGTTTTAATTTTTTGATTAACGTGGATATCCAACAGGCTATGCGAGCAGACTAATCCCAGGGCGACCATCAGCTTTGCAGATAGCCCGGAGTCACCGCATCTGAACCTCCGTGGCCACAAGGGGATTTTTATTCCTCCTTGGATTTGAATAACGGGAGTATCTATGGTCCATATGTAATTCGATTCCGTTGTGTTTCTCTTTGTTTTATTTTTTCTCCATCAGTAGTTAGTGCAAAAGACAAACAAATGCTAAATCATTCCTTTGGCTTAATTTGGAATGAGAATTTAGGTTTCTCGAGGAAGTTATATTATATAAAACCAAACACTTTCTTTTTATTTCCAATCTTATTTATTATTGTTCAATATCTCTAACCAAGCACCTCTTTAGAGCGTTAGAATCTAGGAGGCGGGTTTTTTTAGGAGAGATTCTGAAAAGTAAAAATCCGAACATAAAAGTTGAAAATTGCAATACGTGTAGTTGTACATCTAACATATTACTTTATATGATTTTAAAACGATATAAAAAAGTCACAACTTATGCTTTATGAGTTATCTTTTAAGAATTCTGAGGTAAATGCTTTTGAGCATCTCCAAACCTTTGCATTCTTTCCCTTTTCTCCTTAATTTCTCTTAAACCTACTTGAATCCTTCATCGCCTTAACATTCATTTAGAAAATAAAACAATGCTTTTGCATTTAAATTGAAATAACAAATAACACTCCGAAACAAGAACAATATTTATGGACGTATTTTATGTTTATTTATTTTATTTTTCCTTTCAAATATGAAACATGATTAAAAAAAAAGGACTACTTGAAGCTTCTCCAACACATTCTCGATCCAAAATGGAGATTTTGAGCAAGTTTTTTACCCAAAGATTCTCTTACATCCTTCTCTAAAATAGAGAAAGCAGAAAAGGAAATGTGGAGAAGAAATAAGGTTTATATATAGATTACCATGAATTGAGATTTAATTATTAATTTAAATTGAATACAAAATTTTTGCAGGAGCTGTTTACAGTTGTTGAATGATTTAGTGCATGATGATTAAGTGGTCAGTATGATTAAGAAGCTCTCATGAAATATAATTATTTGGTAATTGCTTACAACGAAATTAGAACACTGAATGATTAAGGGAGACCCAAGATACAAAATGATTCAGATAGTTTTTTTCACCGTTAATATGAGATATCGTAATCGATTTTCTTCACTTGAGGAATTAATTTATTTAATTCTGAATCAATTAATGTTTATATTATTAAACTATATTAATTTATTTAATTTTGAATTAATTAATTTAATTATGCATGGAATTTATCTAAATAATTAATTTATGATTTATATTCCGTACCATATTCTCAGAATGGTTGATTTAATTAATTAATTAATTAATTAATTTATGCTTTATATCTTCCTCTAAAATGGGGTGGGGCTGCAAACGAATCGTATTTAAATTAATAGACAAGTTGCAGGAAATTTCCTCTAAAATGTGGTGGAGCAAACGCGTAGTCTCACATCTCATATCATCAATTCACATCCATCTCTCTTCTTCAACTTTTTCGTAGTATCGATATTAAATAAACTAACCGTTCGATGGCATCTTCATCGTCGTCTTTTCACTCCGCTCCTCCCACCTCTTGGAAATATGACGTTTTTCTTAGTTTCAGAGGTATAGACACTCGCTACACCTTTGTGGATCATCTTTACTCAGCTCTTGTACAACAAGGAATCGGCACTTTCAAGGATGACGAAGAACTTCCTCGGGGCGAAACCATCCATCCATCGCTTTTGAAGGCTATTGAAGACTCACAGATTGCTATCGTTGTATTCTCTGAAAACTATGCTCATTCTTCTTGGTGCTTGCAAGAACTTGAACATATTATGAAATGCAAGGTTGAGAGAGACCAAATTGTTATTCCCATATTTTATCACGTTGATCCCTCGGAAATTCGAAATCAAAAAAGGAAATACGGAGAAGCATTTTCCAAACACGAGTCAGAGAAGAAAAACGTTGAATCTTGGAGAAAAGTAGTTATGGAAGCAGGGCACCTATCTGGATATGTCGCCAATGGGTAATCTTATCTTTTTGGTTTCTCAAATATAAATCTCATATTTCTAGAGAACGTACAACTACAAACCATCCATACAGTTATACAATTTTTAAAATGTTGTATTGGATCAATGAAAGGGAAATTGACCAAAATAGCTATTTCACTTTACAAAATTCATTTTTTAGCCATTTTTTCATCAAAGTATCCAAAATATCATCAATTCCGCAAGTGGAGATCCACGTTCCCAAGAATTCAAAATTTTGGTCAAACTTGAGGAGCCGATGATCCATATTTGGATCCAGTTGAGCTACTTGCAGAGCCGAACATGCCAATTGTGGAATCACCTCTTTTTGGAAACTTTGTTGAGTAAAATGTTTGTTTTGGTCAATTTCGCTTGATTTTACTTGGACTCATTTTCCTTGTTTAATGAATGGATTACCTTTTCTCTCAATTAAAGCATCTGTTACTCATCTTTGTATATCCATTGTCCAGGCCCGAGACAATATTCATCAAAAATATTGTTAAAGAAATTTTAGAAAGATTGTGTATAGCAATTCCAAGCGACAATGAGAACCTGATTGGAATGGAGGATCGCCTGCAAGATTTGAAATCAAAGTTAGCAGTCGATTCACAAGGTGTGCTGATGGTTGGAATATGGGGGCTTGGTGGGGGTGGTAAGACTACTCTTGCACGTGTTGTTTATGATCAAATCTCCAGCAACTTCGATGGTTGCAGCTTTATGAATAACATTCGGGAAGAATCACGCAAGCATGGTTTGAAAGAATTGCAAAAAGAAATTCTCTCATGTGTTCTGAAACAAAAAAGAGAGGAAGCAGTTGGAGATGTAAGAACGTTGATAACGACAAAGCTTCGTCGTAAAAAGGTCTTGATGGTTCTTGATGATGTCGATAATGTTGACCAGCTAGAGGCATTAGCTGGATCACGTGATTGGTTTAAGGAAGGAAGCAGAATTATAATCACAACTAGAAATCAACATTTACTGAATACTCATGGAGTAAATATGATATACAAAATTAGCTTGTTAAATGATGAAGAGGCTATGAAGCTCTTTAGCAAGCATACACTAAGGCATGGTAACCATATAGAAGATTATGATAGCCTTTCGAAAGATGTTGTTTCCTATGCTTGTGGGCTCCCATTAGCACTTAAAGTTATGGGTTCATTTCTTTGTGACAAAGACAGGAGTGAGTGGGTGAGCGCCTTGGCCAGACTAAAAGATATCCCGGATGGTAAAATTGTGGAACAGCTAAAAATTAGCTATGATGGACTTGAACCGCTTGTGAAAGAGTTGTTCCTAGAAATTGCATGTTTTTTTAGGGGAGAGTGGAAAGATAAGACAACAGTGATACTTAAAGCTTGTGGTTTACACCCTGATATAGGAGTAAAGGAACTGATACAAAAGGCTCTCATAACTGTGACAGAAAAAGGAATATTTGATATGCATGATCTGATACAAGAAATGGGACACCACGTTGTTCGAGAGAAATATCCCCGAAATCCTGAAAAACACAGTAGGATCTGGCGGTGGGAGGATGTTGTAACGATTTGTGCTCTACCAGAGGAGGCAAGGACCGTAATGTTTAATCTAGCCTTGTATATAAGTTATATATGCATATACGTATACCAATAAAGTGATACTCTAAATCAACCCTAACACCATTTTGTTCCTCTATCACAGGAAAATCATTGGATTGAAGCATTAAAAGTTCGATGYGAGTTTCTTTGTAGTTTTCCTCGTGTTGTTGCAAACATGAAGGAACTTCGGTGGATTTCTTGCTTTCTATATCCAGCAACTTCATTGCCAAGAAATTTTCAACCAACTAAGCTTTCTTATCTACTATTGTGTTCAGACTCGCTAAAGCAACTTTGGGAGGGTGAAAAGGTAACTCTTATTGTTTTTCTCATTAAGTGGATGATAAATTATAAATATGAGTAATTTACAGAATATATTGTATTTACTTATACGAACAAGGTAGAATATAATGTTAATGTAATTAGAATATATAAGTAGCTAAAGCATGAACCTTTTTACTTATCAATGATATTTGTGTTCTRTTTTAAATCTAATTTAGTYTTAAGTTTTGTSGAAKAACTAAATGTTAAAAGTCGACAARCATTGAATTCYTAGGAGTTAGGAATTAAATGCACTGTCTATAATATCTTTTGAAGTTACATTTGAATGATACATGCCCCATTTTTATTTGTTTTTGGAATAATATGTGTTACTTAATATTTTGTCATTGTTGACTTGTGTGTAATTGTATACAACAGCATCTACCAAACTTGAAAGTGCTCGACCTCGGTGGTTGCAGTAACCTTGTCAGGACACCAGATTTTCACGGACTTCCATGTCTTGAAAGATTAAAACTCAACTATTGTCTGAAGTTAACAGATGTTCATCCATCAATTGGATATCATGAAAGGCTTATTTCTGTGGAAATGCCATCCTGTATGAGCCTTGAAATGTTTCCACCCATCAAAGGGATGAAAAAGTTGGAGACTCTTGATCTCTCTTGGTGCTCTAAGCTCCGCAAGTTCCCGAAGATCCAAATGAACATGGACAACATGAAAGAGCTTTCTTTGGATCGAACTGGAATAAAAGTTGTACCCTCGTCAATTGTAAAATATTGTACCAACCTTCGTTCTCTTGATTTGCGATATTGCGAAAGTCTAGAGAGTATTGAAGGCAATTTCGGTTGCTTAAAACATTTAAAAGAGTTTCATATCGCTGGTTGTAAAGAGCTTAAGATACCAGCAAAGGGCCTCTTTGATCAAAAAGGTTGTTTAGAAGTGCTTTATTTATATAATACATCCTTCAAGAATCCTCACCCAGGCATCACAAGCATGAAATTTCTTGGTTTTCCAACTTCCTTAAGAAGGTTGGGTCTTGGTTCGTGCAATTGGATAATTGGAGACATCTCACCTATTCTTTGCAAGTTATCCAACTTACAAGTACTAGAGCTACAACGACATGATTTTTCACGATTGCATTGTAGCCTCTTGCAACTTTCTAGTCTCAAATTCCTCGACCTTTCATTTTGTTGTAACCTTGTAGAATTACCAGATCTCCCATCAAGCATAGCTGTTCTCCAAGCATATCAGTGCGACAAGCTTAAAATTGACGATCTTCCAACAGATCTTAAATGGTTGTGGAGAATCTCACTTCCGTTGAAGAGTATACTGGGTGATGTTGATAGAAAAGTACAATCCATGCTTCAGGTATGACTCTTTATGTCTTGTTATTGAATTTTAATATTAACTAATGTGTATATTCATCATGATAGGGAAATGCCATTAAAGATAACTCCATCATTCTCTGTTTTGATGTTGATAACATTCCAACAAGAGGCTTTGCAAGGAGAAGATTAATGTTAGAGCTTCCAAGGAACTGGTACAACGAATTCAGTGGATTCTTAATATGCATTAATGTTGGTGGGATTTTTTCCAGCAAGTATGATGAAATTACTATCGAGGACGTAATGGGTAGGGAAAATGAAGATGTTTTGGAGGTGTCTGATGGAACTCCCAAGGAGGCTTGGGATAACAGATGCATGTGCTATATATATATGTATCCTTTGGTTCATTGAGGCATACCTCATGGTGGAAGTGGAAGTCAACACACACTACCATTTCATTTTCCATAAAAAGACATGCTTACTTTAAAGTTGAACTTGTTCCTAGAAGAAGTGAAGGTGATTCAATAAAAAGAGTCAAACATACAACAAATTCCTCAGACTTTTGGGACACAGAACCTATTGAGATCGCACATGATTCAAAATCTTGTATCCAGATTAACTGGTCTCAAAATGATATGGTGTCCCTATTCGGCAATCATAAGTTCTGATATTCTTTTCACTATTTGTTCCATTTTGATAAATAAAAAAAACCTTATATTTCTGCTGTTGTTTTATTAATAGTGAACATCTCTAACCTTGCTGGAAGGTTACGCATCTTTGCGGAACCTTGTTAAATCTTAGCATTTTTTCCCTTTCTCCTTAATTTCTCTTAAACCTACTTCATTTCTTAAGCATCGTTTTAACTTTTATTTAGAAAATAAAATCATGTTTTTGCATTTAGATTAAGACATCAAATAACACTTCAAAATATTCATCAACAAGAACAGTATATTAGGTTTATTTCTTTTACTTTTTTCTTTAAAAAATAAAACCTCATAAAAACACCACTTAAAAGCATCTCCAAAAAATATATATATCTTTTTTATTATATTCCAACTGCTTCTCTAAAATATATATATCTTTTTTCTTTTGAAATGGAGATTTTAGGGATTTGAGCAAGTTTTTTGCTTCTCTAAAACCTTTATCAAAAATAGAAGGAGAGAGAGACAAAGAAATCCTTAAAGATGATTACAGAAAAAAAAATATATATCTTTTTTATTATATTCCAACTGCTTGAGATTAAATGTTTAGGAGATAGAAATAGTATTCTATTAAGTACATGAAATATTTTAATCATATAATCACTATTGTGATATCCAAAATTCAGAAGTTGTTTGACTTAAATGTAATTTCTTTTTGAAGATTTTGAATTTTGATCATTATTATTATAAAAAAAATTAGAACATGTGTTAATGATACTCTTAGGGGTTGTTTGGCAGTTGTTTAATGGTTTTATGCAGGATGATAATGAAATTTAATTGTTTGGTAATTGTTCACCGTGAAATTACGGCACTGAATGGTTAAGGAGGTCCAAGATGCAAAATTATTCAGAGAGTTTTGAAAGCAATAAGAGGCGGGCTTTTTATTTTTCCTAAACAAAATTAACCTCTTAGCGATCCAGAAAAGCAAACTATAATATCTAAATGCGTTACAATAGGTTTATAGGATGTTTTTTTTTTTAAATAAAGTGTCTTATTAGCTAGAACACTTTTGTGAAGTGTACCGCAAACTACCTTTTTATAGAACATTTATAGGAAAAAGTGTTATATAAAATAGTAAAATATGACACTTTATTTTAAAAGTTTTCTAAATTTTTTTGTTAAAACGTCATATAAACCAATTGTAACACTTTTAAATTGATGATTTTTGGTTTGGTCCTATAAACTTAACTCTTATAAAGTATTTTTTTTAGGACGCTTCTATATTTTAGACGTCCTATAAAATCAATTTTGTTGTAGTGCGCACAAACACTTTTAATTCAAGCTAATCGGTGATCCTCGGTAGTTTCATAGAGAATTGGATGAATCAAAAGAACAACCTAAGCATGTTTTGAGGACACTTATGGAGGTATATGCTGGTTGTGGGTTGTAGGGTTGGGTTCATTTGAGACCAAGAGATTTTCGTGAGACCCGTAAGACCAATTTATATTAATTGATCAACTTTATAAGCTAACGATCTAATGATCTAAAGTTGCACGGTGGCAATTTTGTGATTATTGAGAAGTCTTGTGGCAATTTTGTGATTATGAATATTCAGATTGTAGATCTAATCCAAGAGTTGAGAATTGGTCTTACGGGTCTCACGAAAAACCCTTGGTCTCACATGATTCCAAGTCGTGGGTTGTATGAGGACGCAAAAGAGGTAAACTTGCATTTACAATATCTTCTTTAATGAAGCTCTACATTCACTTTCCACTAGCTTATTCAATATATAATCATAGAAAGATGTTCGGACCCGTTTCTTTAATTATGGCAAATCTCGATTTCTACATTCGAGATTTCTACTCCATTTGCAACTATTTTTAGAAATGAAAATTTCTAATAACGATACGAACGAAATCAAAAGCGTGCAGGATTGTCCACACATGTGGACTTATGGTTTTAAAATGCGTCTTGTAGGGGATTTATGTAGCTCTTATAAGACAATCTTAGTTTCCCTCTCTAACCAATGTGGGATCCTCCAGTCAACCAATTTAGTAATTTTGTTTTCACTTTGCTAAATACTTAAAAGACAACTAATCACTAAGATCATATAAAACACAAAAGCATTATATAAATCTCCAAAATCTACTCAAGTCTTAACTTCTATTATCACACGATCCTCCGTCAAGTCTTGTCCAACGTAATCTCTCTTCTGCCCAACTGCCAAGTCTCAACATAATCTTGAAACATAAAGAAACGTTTATTATATGTATATATGAGAACCTATGATTTCTTATTAAATGGTCAAAATCACTAAAGTTATGATATGATTTGCTAAGAAAATGGCAAAAATCACAACACATTCTATGATTTCTTAACAAATGGTAAAAATAAATAAACCCTAAAAACGATAGACTTATTGGGGTGAGTGACTAAAAGCGTGAGTCAGGATTTTCGATCACGGTGGTCCTCTAATATATATATATATAGGGTTGGGTTCACGTGAGACCAGCCTGTTTTCGTGAGACCCGTGAGACCATATTTTTACACGTAACCTTCATAGCAAAAACACTGTGAAGGTTTAAAAAAAGTCGAACCTTCACAGCAAAAACACTGTGAAGGTTTTAAAAAAGTCGAACCTTCACAGCAAAAACACTGTGAAGGTTTTAAAAAGTCACCTTCACAGCATTTTGCTGTGAAGTTTCAAGTGTAAAATGTTGGTCTCACGGGTCTCACGAAAACAGGCTGGTCTAACATGATCCCAAGTCTATATATATATATATATATATATATATACACACACACACATGTACACGTGCACACACATATGTACGTAAAATAAATAAATAAATAAAAAGCCCTTGGCGTGCAACCCGGTTGGCTCAATGGATGAGGAGATGTTTGCTATAAAATACTCAAATTGCTAAATGCAATAAAAGCCAGGTTTTGGGAAATATATATGAACATTTATCGACGTAGGGACCATTTAACAAATGGTTACAGGTTAAATGCTTATCGGATGTCACTCACTTACCTTACCGGGTGAGATTGAAAAGGACCAAAAATCTTACCCTGTAAACAAGGGAGAAAACTCTTACCTGGTAAGTGGTAACTGAGTACTCTTGCTCTTCCTCGTAATCCTCAATTGTTGGGGGGATTCCTATTGGAATTATAACTCACAAATTCCCCCCCAATAATTGAGGAATACAGATCTAAATATACATATCTTTGATGGCATATTGTGAAATTTCCCACTTTACTTATCTCTTCAACAAACTGTTTCACCCTAAAAGAAATGGAGAAATAATTCATAAATGCATGAGAATGTGAATGTTATATAACACGCAAACTACTTGCAGTTTCTCTTTAACAAACCTACATCTTTTATGAAGAGGACGAAACTTGAAGAAATTTTTTTATTTTAAATAGAAAATTACAAAATCTAACATGTTAAGGATGAAATTAAATAATTTGGAGAAGTATCGTAACTCCAGCAAATTCATTACCTCATTCTCAAGAAATTCGCAAAGAAATTGATTATATGGAGACGTACGTAAATAGAAGAGTTTTCATTCCAAACACCGTATTGTCATACAACCATACGGAAAGCATATATAGACTTATTTGTCTAAATCAAGTTACATATCCAATGTCATGTCGTTTGTTCCATATACAATCCAAATCTCTGTTGCATAACTAGGAAAAGATTGTACCAAAACAAGAGTCATGTTTAAGTGTAAAATGACTCAAAGGATCCATCTTAACCATCCCTAATCATTGACTCCAATTGTGGAACAAAAGAAACCTAAAATAACCATAGTTGCGAAGAGTGTATGATTTAAAGATCAGTCCAGTTCATGAAGGTACCAGTGTATGTACCCTTAGCAAATCATACAATTAATTTAAATTGAATACGGTCATAGTATTTTAATAGAAATTTAACCCAAGATCCAAAATAAACTCAACCGTAGTTTGTATTTTGTAATGAGTCGACTTTACAATTATTTATTTATTTATTTATCATTTAATTTTTAATTTAAAATGCCATGCCTCCTTTCATGACCTTTAAATCTCATAGTTGGCCTTTAAATTTCCTCCTTTGTTGCAGGAAATTTCCTCTAAAATGGGGTGGGGCGGCTGCAAACGTGTTGTCCCACATCTCATCAATCTATATTAAACAAACTACACTTCATTCATCTTCTCAAATCACATCGATCTCTCTTCTTCAACCTTTTCGTAGTATCAAAATTAAACAAACTAACCATTTGATGGCATCTTCATCGTCGTCTTTTCACTCCACTCCTCCCACCTCTTGGAAATATGACGTTTTTCTCAGTTTTAGAGGCACAGACACTCGCTACACCTTTGTGGATCATCTTTACACAGCTCTTATACAACAAGGAATCGGCACTTTCAAGGATGACGAAGAACTTCCTCGGGGCGAAACCATCCGTCCATCGCTTTTGAAGGCTATTGARGACTCACAKATTGCTRTCGTTGTATTCTCTGAAAACTATGCCCATTCTTCTTGGTGCTTGCAAGAACTTGAACATATTATGAAATGCAAGGTTGAGAGAGACCAAATTGTTATTCCCATATTTTATCACGTTGATCCCTCGGAAATTCGAAATCAAGAAAGGAAATACGAAGAAGCATTTTCCAAACACGAGACAGAGAAGAAAAACGTTGAATCTTGGAGAAAAGCACTTACGGAAGCAGGGCACCTATCTGGACATGTCCCTTATGGGTAATCTTATTTTTTTTTCATTTTTAAAATATAATTAATGCTTAAGGTGTTTGTACTTTACAAGACAATTATACTTGCATCATATAAGCTTCCAAAGGATAATTAAAGTCAAACCTTTCATATTAATCCCATATTTCTAGAGAATGTATAACTACAACCCATCCATACAAAGTATAAAAAATAAAGTAAAAACTCTAATTGGAGCATCTATTATTTATTTTTGTATGTCCAATGTCCAGGCCCGAGACAGTATTCATCAAAAACATTGTTAAAGAAATTGTAGAAAGATTATGTATAGCAATTCCAAGCGACAATGAAGACCTGATTGGAATGGAGAATCGCCTACAAGATTTGAAATCAAAGTTAGCAATTGATTCACAAGGTGTGCTGATGGTTGGAATATGGGGGCTTGGTGGTGGTGGTAAGACTACTCTAGCATATGCTATTTATGATGAAATCTCCAGTAAGTTTGATGGTTGTTGCTTTGTGAAAAACATTCGGGAAGAATCACGCAAGCATGGTTTGGAGGAATTGCAGAAGGAAATTCTCTCACTTACTTTGAGGCAAAAAAGAGAAGATTTAGTTGGAGATGTAAGGAAGTTGATAAAGAGTAGGCTTCGTCGTAAAAAGGTCTTGCTAGTTCTTGATGATGTCGATGATGCTAACCAGCTTACGGCATTGGCTTCACATGATTGGTTTAATGAAGGAAGCAGAATTATAATCACAACTAGAGATAAACATTTACTGAAAGCTCACAAAGTAAATGTGATATACGATATTAGCTTGTTAAATGATGACGAGGCTATGAAGCTCTTTAGCAAGCATGCACTTGGGCATGGTATCCATATAGAAGATTATGATAGTCTTTCAAAAGAGGTTGTTTCTTATGCCGGTGGGCTCCCGTTAGCACTTAAAGTTATGGGTTCATTTCTTTGCGACAAAGACGGGAGTGAGTGGGTGAGCGCCTTGGCCAGACTAAAAGATATCCCGCATGGTAAAATTGTGGAACAACTAAAAATTAGCTATGATGGACTTGAACCCCTAGTGAAAGAGTTGTTCCTAGAAATTGCATGTTTTTTTAGGAGAGAAAAGAAAGATAAGGCAATAGTGATACTTCAAGCTTGTGGTTTACACCCTGATATAGGAGTAAAGGAACTGATACAAAAGGCTCTTATAATTGTGACAAAAGAAGGAATGTTTGATATGCATGATCTGATACAAGAAATGGGGCACCACGTCGTTCGAGAGAAAAACCCACGAAATCCTGAAAAACACAGTAGGGTTTGGCGGTGGGAGGATGTTGTAACGATATGTGCTCTACCTGACGAGGCAAGGACCATAATGTTTAATCTAGCCTTGTATATAAGTTATATATGCATATACGTATACCGATAAAAATATACTCTAAATCCACCCTAACACCATTTTGTTCCTATATTACAGAAAAACCATTGGATTGAAGCATTAGAAGTTTGGGGTACGGGGGCACAAGAACCTTGGACATTGGGGGAGGTTCCTTGTAGTTTTCCTCGTGTTGTTGCAAACATGAAGGAACTTCGGTTGATTTCTTGCTTGGGATATCCAGCGACTTCATTGCCAGGAAATTTTCAACCAACTAAACTTTCTTATCTACAATTGAATTCAGTCTCACTAGAGCAACTTTGGGAAGGTGAAAAGGTAACTCTTATTGTTTTTCTCATTAAGTTGATGATAAATTAAAAAGAGTAATTTACAGAATATATTCTATTTACTTAGATGAATGGGGGAGAATATAATATTAATGTGATTAGAATATATAAGTAGCTAAGCATGAACCTTTTTACTTGTCAATGATATTTGTGTTATATTTTAGATCCAATTTAGTTTTAAGTGTCGTGGAAGAAATAAATGTTAAGAGTCGATAAGAATTGAATCTTAGGAGTTAGGAATTAAATGCACTATCTATAATATCTTTTGAAGTTACATTTGTATGATACATGCCCTTTTTTATTTGTTTTTGGGATAATATGTGTTACTTACTATCATTCTTTCTGTATCCTAGCTTCTCAACACTCTGTGCAACTAAAAAATTAATATTTTGCCATCGTTGACTTGTTTGTAATTGTATACAACAGCATCTACCAAATTTGAAAGTGCTTGACCTCACTGGTTGCAGTAACCTTATCAGGACACCAGATTTTCACGAACTTCCGTGTCTTGAAAGAATAATACTCCACAGTTGTCTCAAGTTAACAGATGTTCATCCATCAATTGGATATCATGAAAGGCTTATTTCCGTGGAAATGCCAAAATGTAGGAGCCTTAAAATGTTTCCACCCATCAGAGGGATGAAAAAGTTGGAGACTCTTATTCTTTCTTGGTGCTCTGAACTTTGCATGTTCCCGGAGATCCAAATGAACCTGGATAACATTGTAGAGATTTCTTTGATGGGAACTGGAATAAAAGTCGTACCATCGTCAATCGGAAAATATTGTACCAGTCTTCTTTCTCTTGATTTGCGAAGTTGCGGAAGTCTAGAGAGTATTGAAGGCAACCTCCATTGCTTAAAACATTTGAAAGAGTTTCATATCGATAATTGTAAAGAGCTTAAGATACCAGCAGAGGGCCTCTTTGATGTAAAAGGTTGTTTAGAGGTGTTTTATTTATATAATACATCCTTCAAGAATCCTCATCGAGGCATCGCGAGCATGAAATTTCTAGGTTTTCCACCTCCCTTAAGAAGGTTGGGTCTTGGTTGGTGCAATTTATCAAATCAAGACATCTCATCTGTTGTTTCCGAGTTATCCAACCTACAAGTATTAGACCTACAAGGAAATGATTTTTCACGATTGCGTTGCAGCCTCTTGGAACTTCGTAGTCTCAAATTCCTCGACCTGTCATTTTGTTGTAACCTTGTAGAATTACCAGATCTTCCATCAAACATAGCTGTTGTCCGAGCATATGGGTGCAGCAAGCTTAAAATTGTAGATCTTCCAACAAATCTTAAATGGTTGTGGAGAATCTCATTTCCAATGAAGAGTATATTGGGTGATGTTGAGAGAAAAGTACAATCCATGCTTCAGGTTTGACTCTTTATATCTTGTTGTTGAATTTCAATATTAATTAATTTGCATATGTGGACTGAAACACAATATATTCATCATGATAGGGAAAACATAACTCCATTAGTCTCTCTTTTCATGCTGATAACATTCCAACAAGAGACTTTGCAAGGAGAAGATTAATGTTAGAGCTTCCAAGGAACTGGTACCACGAATTCAGTGGGTTCTTAATATGCATTGTAGTTGGTCGGATTTACAACAAGTATGATGTAATTGCTATCGAGGACGTAATGGGTATGGAAAATGAAGATGTTTTGGAGGTGTCTGATGGAACTCCCACGGAGACTTGCAATATATATATATCCTTCAGTTCATTGAGGCATACCTCATGGTGGAAGTGGAAGTCAAGACACAGTACCATTTCATTTTCCATACAAAGACATAATTACTTAAAAGTTGAACTTGTTCCTAGGAGAAATAAAGGGGATTCAATAGAAGGAGTCAAACATACAACAAATTCCTCAGACTTTTGGGACACAGAACCTATTGAGATCACACATGATTCAAAATCTTGTATCAAGATTAACTGGTCTCAAAATGATATGGTGCCCCTGTTCGGCAATTATAATTTCTAATATTCTTTTCACTGTTTGTTCTATTTTGATAATAAATATAAAAAACTTATATTCCTCTTGTTGCTTTATTAATAGTGAAAATCTCTAACCTTGCTAGAAGACTTGACATTTTTGCGGAACCTTGTTAAATCTTAGCATTTTTTCCGTTTGTCCTTTGTTTCTCTAAAACGTACTTGATTTCTTAACGAGTCCTGCATCGTTTTAACATCATTTAGAAAATAAAACCATGTTTATGCATTTAGATTAAAACAACAAATAGAACTTCAAAATATTCATCAACAAGAACAACATTTTAGGTTAAAACCATTTCCAATACATCATCTAAAATGGAGATTTTAGGGATTTTCAGAAAGTTTTTTGCTTCCAAAGATTCTCTAAAACCTTTCTCCAAAATAGGAGGGAGAGAAAAGGAAATCCTTAAAGATGATTACCGGAAAAAAAAAAAATTTATTATATTCCAAGTAACTGAGATTATATGTTTAGGAGATAGAAATAATATTTCGTTAAATCTATGAAATATTTTAATCTCCAAAATTTAGAAGTTATTAGAGTCTAATGTAAATATTTTTGAAGATTTTGAATCTTGATCCCCCATTTTAAAGAAAATTTAAAAATTTTGTTACTGATATTCTTAGGGATTGTTTGGCAGTTGCTGAATGGTTTTGTGCAAGATGATTTAATGATCCGAATGGTTAAGAGGTTATTATGATATAATGCAAAATAAAATATAATTGTTTGGTAATCGTTCAGCATGAAATTATGACACTAAATGGTTCAAGAGGTCCAAGATGCAAAATCATTTATAGGGTTTTGAAACCATTAAGAGGCGGACTTTTATTTTTACCAAACAAGATTCACCTCTTATAGATTCAGAGAACCAGACTACAAAGCGTCTTATCTAGATGCGTTAAAATAGGTTTATAGGATGCTTTTAAAATAAATTGTCTTATTAGTTATTTTATAGTAAACAATCTTTTTTATAGGACACTTATGTTTATAGGAAAAAGTGTCGTATAAAATAGAATTTTGGGACACATAACCTATTGAGATCGCATAACCTCATGGTGGAAGTGGAAGTCAAGACACACTACCATTTCATTTTCCATAAAAAGACATAATTACTTAAAAGATGAACTTGTTCCCAGGAGAAATAAAGGGGATTCAATAGAAAGAGTCAAATATACAACAAATTCCTCAGACTTTTGGGACACATAACCTATTGAGATCGCACATGATTCAAAATCTTGTATGAAGATTAACTGGTTTCATGATGATGATCTGATGTCCGTGTTTGGCAATGATAATGTCTGATATTCTCTTCACTGTTTGTTCCATTTTTATAAAAATAGAAAATAAAACCTTGTTTCTGCATTTAGATTAATATTTATGTCAATTTATGCTAGACATATTTTTAGGTTTATTTGTTTTACTTTTTCTTTAAAAATGAAACCTGAAAAAAAAAAAAACACCACTTAAAAAAGCATCTCCAACACATTCTCTAAAATGAAGATTTTAAGGACTTTGAGAAAGTAAATACTTCTTCCGAATGTTCCAAATAAGTCACGTCACTCCAAGTTATCTTAGAATTTTACATATGCACGATGATCCTATCCCTTTGATAAAAATCTTTTATTATCCTAAGGTTGGACTTGAATTAATTTAGACAAGATTGGAATTGATTACATACGTTTCTAAACCTTAAAGCACAAAGGTACAAATAAGTAATGCAACATAATCCTCTGTACCTGACAGCTTTGCACCATCTCAATTTTGAGCCATTTTATCATATTTAGAGGTACAATTAGGTGTTAACATCTAAGCAAAAGTTTTATTTGTATTCCTTAGGGTTCCAATCGTTTTGGATTCACCCTATTTTGGAGCAAAGACCAATTTTATATGAATTTTCTAATAACATTGTGCAAATCCCATTTTGCACATGACCAGTTCTAGGAACTCATTTTTTGACCCTTATGGAGTTAAATTCAGGTCTGGACGTAAACTATAGAATTGTAGCAGACTCAAAGACTTTTCCATCGGTATACCACACACATCAATCGGATCAACGAGTGACTTTTTATATGCACTTTTAAACAATCAGCAAATGAAATAACTATGAAACTTTCTCAAACCCCAAATACGTGTTTGAACTTAACTCCCAAATTCTTTAATCAATAAGAACATGAAACTAACATAATTGAACAAATATTTAACGTACTAATCAAGATCATATCAATCATGACATGATTCATACCCAACTTTGACATCAATCAACAATTTAAACCACAAACCTTGAAATTTATACGTTATGTATTTTTCAATAAACCTTAGAGATTTTCGCATTTCCCTATTGAAGATTAACGGCATCGATTTAGAAGATACAATTTATTGTGTTTTGCATGTTACAAGTTTCGAGAAAAGAGGGTTTGAACTTAAACAATAGCCTCTAATTCCCTTTCACAACACATAATCTTGATTCGTTTTATTCTTGGTTCCCTATGATCGAACTAAGAAAACAGAAAGACTTTTATTGACGCATCGTAGTGAATTGTCTTTAAACGTGATCATGCATCTGACCAAGTAACTTTGGTTTCACCCCATTGACTTCCGGGCACCGCAAGGGCCGTCCAAACGGCTTTAGATGCGTCCACAATATCATCATGACACCCGCGACTTGAGTCACACTCGTCAACCACCATAGCTTGTACACTTTTATCGTTGTAATTAATATTTATAAACTTAAAGCACCTTCTTCCGTGATCATACCATCGAGAGGACAACGCCACGATGGGTGTGTCATCTGAGTGGTACTTTCCGTCACACTCAGATGGCCCTCCACCACTACCACCCTTCTCAAAGCTGTTAATGGTCATTGTTGCATCTGTATTGCTAGATTGAGCATCGATGCACGATATGAATAAGGGAACGAGCACCGGAAGGAGAACGAGAAAGACGATTGCGGATTGCGTCATTTCGTCTCTATTTTTTTTGTATGTTTGTGGTGTGAAAAAACTGAATCGGGAAAACTGAATATATAGTGATGGGGTTTTTGTCTTGTGCTCAAATGGTTAAATTATTGGATGTTATTTAGGTTGAAATTACAATGTCAATGCTTATAGGCATAGGGAAACTAATTATATCTCCTTGCATTTTTACTATTATTATTTTTCCACGTTTGTAATTGCAAAAAAAAAAAAAAAAAATTTGCACCCTAACCATAAGGGTGGTGCATGATTGGTTTGAGCTTGGCTCCGAAGGTCGAAAGTACCACGAGGTCTCAGGTTCAAATCAAGGAGAAATAAAAATCCCCTTGTGGCCACGGAGGTTCAAATGTGGTGACTCCAGGCTATCTGCAAAGCAGGTGGTCGCTCTAGGATTAGTCAGCTTGCATAGCGGGTTGGATATCCAGGTTAATAAAAAAAATTTGCACCCTTAGAAGTATGAAAAAAATTTATTTCTATATGTCTGCACGAACCATGGAGAAATAGTTAATTTGTGTTTATATATATATATATATATATATATATATATATAGACTTGGGATCATGTGAGACCGGTGTATTTTCGTGAGACCCGTGAGACCACGTTTTTATACTTGAAACTTCACAACAAAACGCTTTGAAGGTAACCTTCACAGTGTTTTTGATATGAATGTTTGATTTTCTTTTATGTTCACAATATTTTGTTGTGAAGTTTCAAGTGTAAAAAAGTGGTCTTATGGGTCTTACGAAAACAAGTTTTGCTAAATATTTACTGTTTAGTGCTTACCAATCAAGCATAGAAAGGACCAAGAATCTTATCAAATAAGAGAAACAACAAGGAGCGAGAGTCTTACATAGTAAGTGAGGAAAAAGACTCTTACCCGGTAAGTATTTATCTGGTCTTAGAAGCTTACCAACAATACATTATGATACCCGAGAATGTTACCCGATAAAATAAGTAGGAATGATGTTTTTGTTGGTACGTAAATATAACTACTTGACAAGTGTTTCATAAATTAAATCTTAATCTAGAATAAAAGAAAGTAACAATTTAGTGGGAAAAAATCAATAATCTGAACTCTTATTTATGATTTGTGTTATAAATGAATTGATTAAAATTAAATGAAAAATATTATAATCATATAAGCATGTGATATATATATATATATATACATATATATATATATAACAGTAATATATTGATTTATTTTGGCTTTTTAGATGTCACATTAAACCAAGTATTTTCTTAGATACATTGTTCTTGTTATTGTCCAAATGTGATCATATGTGTGTGTGGGGGGGAATCAAATCTTTGTCACATTGTATTATAATATATTTGTGTTCTTGTTCTTCTCCAAATATGGTGTTAGGGTTATTAATCGTAATTTAACTTGATTTTTATTTTGGGTAACGTTTTTTTCAAAATTTTCATTTTGATACCTAAGATGTAAAGTTTTAAACATTTAAGTATCTGGGTAACCAGTTGAAGCATTAACTTTTTCTTCTAATAAACCACGATGCATAAAAACCAATTTTAGATTAAGATATCTATCACTACTAGAAAACTGGGCATTTCCGGCGGGATTTTCGGCGGACAATTTCCGCCGGAATTTTTCGGGCGGATTTCCGGCGGAAATTAAAAAAGTCAACTTTGGCGGAATAATTGTAATTTCACTTTAATTCATGTATGATATTTAATTCTATTTTGCCTTTTTAGTTTCATTTTTAATATTGTACAGATTTACAGGTTTTAATACAGGTTTTAAATATTAATTTTAAAATAAAAATAAAATATTAATATTTATATATTATTTTCCGGCGGATTTCCGGCGACAAAGTCCGCCGGTAATGTTTCCAAATTCTAATTTTTTAAAAAATATTTAGAATTATTTCTTAAAAACTTTCCGGCGGATTTTCGGGGGAATATTCCGCCGGTATTTTTAAAATTTAAATACATATTTTTTTAGAAAAATTAATTATTTTTCGACGAAAAAAGTTTCCGGCGGATTTCTGGCGAAATATTCCGCCGGTATTTTTAAAATTTAAATATATATTCTTTTTAGAAAATATTAATTATTTTTCGACGGAAAAAGTTTCCGGCGGAATATTCCGCCGGTAAATGATTTAATTTTTTTAAAAAAAATTAACTATTTTGTTAATTTAATTAATATTTTATAAAATAAACCAGTGAGGAATTACCGGCGGCCAGAATCCGCCGGAAATTGGTAAAATCCGCCGAAATAGCCGTCGAAAATCCAATCACCGGCGCCCCTTTTTCCGGCGGCCACATCCGCCGGAAATCCGCAGGAAAACACTTTTTCCGACGGATTTCCGGCGGATTTGGCCACCGGAAAAAGGGTGTTTTTTGGTAGTGTCAGTAAATAATATTGAGTTGGATACCACATCACTTGTCATATCAGCATGGTAACCGATTAATGTTTCAACTGGTTACCCGAGTACTTAAATGTTTAAAATTTTACATTTTAGGGATTAAAATTAAAGTTTTGAAAATACGTTACCCAAAATAGGAATCAAGTTAAAGTACGTTATTTTTTCATACTATTTGCCATTTAATCATATAACAAAATAACACTACCAAAAAAACCCCTTTTTCCGGCGGCCAAATCCGCCGGAAAAAGGAAATTCCGGCGGATTTCCGGCGGATTTGGCCGCCGGAAAAAGGGTCGCCGGTGATTTTTTTTCTGGCGGTTTTTCCGGCGGATTTTCCAAGTTTCCGGCGGATTACGGCCGCCGGAAAATATCCGCCCGTTTTTTAAGAAATCTTGATTAAATTAAAAAATAATTAAAAAAAATTTTGAAAAAAATTCCGGCGGAAT